GAATCAGATTTTCTAAACCATCAGTTCTGCGGGGCTTACATCTAAACCACTCTCTTCTGGTTCATGTGTAATGGAGGGGTCGTTCAAACGAGTATTACATCAACTTTATATGATCTCAGTTCTGTAAGATCTCAAATTTAAGGCATCCTTTTCAGATAAGAAACATCGTTGTCGAGCGTTATGCCACCAAGGAGAATGTCCACCTTGTGATTTGAACACAAGTGTTGTTTGTCGCTGCAAGCAGGTGAAGCGAACATTACCCTGTGTGGAGTACGTGCATTTCGCAGGTAAAGGACCAGTTACTGTGGAATTCGATATAGTCCTAGTTACATTTGTTTGGTGCTATAGTTAAGATTACATGAGTACTCTAGACTTACTCAATCTAATGCTAATTGCGAAAGCTTATGTTTAGCGAAGAACTGTTGTAAGGTAGCGTTTCTAGTGGGAGATATATAGGTACAGATCAATTTCAAATGCTCCTACTCTGTGTTTTTTGGCAAGTCTAGTTGAATATGTAGCTCATAGTGTCACCATGTTTCTAAATAACAACTGAGTAGGAGTGTAGTTCCTGATCTCTTCTTCTCCAAGGGAATTCGAATTGAAAATCTTCATATTATTGCACCTTGTCACCTATTTTTCAGACGGAGGTGAATTCTTGTGCGAAAAGCGGTGTAAGAAAAGGAAATCATGTGGAATTCACAAATGTCAAGAATTATGCTGTGTGCAGAAAGAGCACCTGTGCTTACAGGTAGTGCATTTAAGTGCTGCTCCTTACTTTGCCAGTATTAGTGTTTTTCTCATTACACTGTTGCCGTTTCTCCTCAGGCTACTAAGAAATATTATTTTTGCTTTACAAGGATGGAACTGTTTTAGATTTGTAATAAGCGTCTCTCTTGCGGCCTACATTTTTGTGAGAGTATTTGCCATGCTGGTCAATGCCCGAGGTGTCTGAACTCGAGTGAGAATTTAATAATAGACCTTTTAAAAATTGTTAACTATGATCAACTGGTAAGCGGCTCTAATACATACCCATTCTGTTCTTCAGGCTTCGAAGAGCAATACTGCCATTGCGGGCGTACAATGCGTCCACCACCTGTGCCTTGTGGCGCGCCTCTGCCGGAATGTGATGAGCCATGCGCTCGACCACACGCTTGCAATCACCCTGTCACACATCATTGCCACGGCGACGAGCGTTGCCCACCTTGTACAGCTCTAGTCGAGAGGATGTGCTATGGGAAGCACGAGGTATGCGTGGTCTTTCGAAGTTTCGTTCAAATTAAGTATTTTTACTTGTTTTTGCTTTCTTTCCTTTTTCTATTTTTGCGATAACTGCTGTAGTTGTTTTCGAATTTTGACAAGCGTTCTCCTATGCTAGACCTTTCTTCTACGCTAAACCTACCTACCCAGCTCGTAAGGTTCTTTTTAATTACCTGAATCAATCCTATTTATAAACAAGTTAAGAGATTCATTGAGAAAACTCAAACTTTTCCCCTCCGTTCTTCATATTTTTCTCAAATATGTCATTCAGCTACGTAAAAACATCCCTTGCCACATCGAGGCTGTTTCATGTGGTAGGCTGTGTGACAAACCACTGGGTTGCGGAGTACATAATTGCAATAGAAATTGCCACGCCGGGGATTGCATGAGGGTATGTTTTGTGCAGTGGCGGTAGGAATTCTTCTCCATTTCACCTTACTCCATTTAGGAGGGTGAAAAGTGCACACGACCTTGTATGATTTTACGTCGGCCATGTGAGCATCCATGCTCTTTGCCTTGTCATGGGCTGGATCCGTGCCCGGAGTCGGAATGTCGTCATCCAGTCAACGTAACATGTGAGTGTGGGAAGCGGAGAAGCACACTGAAGTGTGTTGAGGTAAGATTTGCTAAGAGGAGTTCCCAAGATAATCAGCGATTCGGCGTTGCAGGCAATAACCGCTTTTCAAAAATTTTTTTACAATGTCCATTCAATCCAAATCCTACCTTTCATTGCAATCTGGCAACAGCTTTTTCTTCTCCCTGACCTGATGAATCAAATTTGGTTGTCGAAATTTATGAGTTCAAAAGTTTCCCTTTTCCAGTTCGAAAAAGTAGCTGCCCGTCTTCGAGCAGTCGATGCAGAGGAAAGCGAAGGCGATCCAAGTAATGAATCGGCTGGTGTAGGATCTTTGAAAAGATCAGCCAGTATGGAAAAACTGAACTGGTTAGTCACGTTATTGCCTCTTTC